TTGCGGCCGCGTAGGAAGCCGTAATCCTGGGCGCTTGCAGCTCAAGCAGACATATGGCCTGGCAAACATTGTGTGCGTGTCGAATGAACAAAAGCCTAGTGGCTCGATGACATCGTTTTGCCCGCGGCCCGATACCCCGCTTAGTCATGGAACCAAGCTCGGGGCCCTGACCTACCCCGGCTCAACTGTAGAACCACAGAATCCCGTTTCCAGCTTGTCGCATTCTACTTCAACCAGCTTGGGAGCTGCAGGTACCGAGAGGTATTCGCCATGGACGCGCCTGGCGCGACATCGCCGGACGAAAGTGCCGTTCAGAGCACTCCCAAGCACGACTCATCCATGCGAACCAGATCACCTACAAACACGACTCAAGACGCCCAAGATAGAGACCAACGACACAATGACCACAGCTCTAGTAGCAGCGATGACGAAGAGGAAGAAGTGGAGGTCGAAGAAGAGGATGACGAGGACGACGAGGACGAGGAGCCCCGCCTCAAGTACGCATACCTTACGAAGCACCTGGGATCAGTATATCGCAACGGGGATGCGACAAGCTCGTTTCTTGTAGCAGGGGATAAAATGGTATGTATTCTTAGCGGAATCTATGCTATATAATGAGCTAACGAGGTGCCTAGGTTGTCGGGACACACAACGGGAACGTCGTAAGTTAGCTACACCATCGCGGAAACATATGAGCTGACCTTGTCAAGCATGTTATGTCCTTGCCACTTCTACAATCTCTCCGTGTATACCATGCACACTCAGCAAGTGTCACCTCAATATCGATATCGCCATTTCCGCCTCCACTTCCGAACCTTAAGCAAGACGCCTTCAGCAAGCAGGCCGCGGAAGAACACAGACCATCCACGCGATCATCTAATACCACCGGCAGTATCCGTGGCAAAGGAAAACTCGGTAATCATTCCACTGTTCCTCCCACGCCATCAAACTCGATTTACATCGGAACCTCGTCAATCGATGGCCACGTTTGCGTCTCGTCGCTAGTAGACCCCAAGGATGTGCTATTGCGCAATTTTGGACGCCCAGTTCAGTCTGTTGCTTTGTCTCCAGAGTACAAAACTGACCGAGCATTCCTGTCTGGTGGCCGAGCGGGTGAATTGGTCCTGACAACTGGCGGTCGTATCGGAGCTACCTCCAACTCTACGACAATGGGGGGTGCGGCCGCCACAGCGTCAAGTTGGCTTGGGTCCATGGGCCTGGCAGCCAATAGTGGAAAAGACACAATTATCCACAGCGGAGAAGGGGCTATAAGCACAATTAAATGGTCACTTTCAGGAAAATACGTGGCCTGGGTCAACGAAGAAGGCATCAAGATTATGCGGTCAAATTTGCATCTTGATTCTTCAGAGACAGAATTTGCCTGGAAACGGATCAGCCATATTGATCGTCCAAATCGTCCCGGCTGGGATGAAATGGCCGGTGTTTGGAAAGCACGCGCAGAGTGGATTGACCAGTCTGCTTTAGACAGTGGGGACAATCTCGATCCAAATGACAACCCAGAAAGCCCAGAGGCACAATCAACTGTACCTACTGAGAAGGTGGAAAAGCTTGTTGTCGGCTGGGGAGGAACTGTTTGGGTCATTGATGTCTATCCCGAGAGGGCAAGCAAAACATCCAAGGGCGAGAGAGTGGGTTCTGCAGAGGTTGTTACAATGTAAGCTGGGAGTCTCACTGGCCGAATCGTTTGCCGCTAACTTGAACGCAGATTACGAACAGATTGCGTGGTATCTGGAATCTCATTGTATACGCCGCGTCTTCTTGTCATTCTCGCCTATATGGAAACCGAAGGTGAAACTGCAAGTAATGGAAGAGGCAGTGGGACGCGCAATCGAAAAAAGGGCCTTGAACCTGAACTTCGTGTCATTGACATTGAAACCAAGGAAGAAATCAGCGCTGATACACTTTCAGTAAACCGGTTTGAAGGTCTTTCGGCGTCTGACTACCATCTAAGTGTCTTGCCTCCGTGGAAGACCCCAGAGGGACAAGTCGTCCAGCGCGGTGCCTTGGGGGCTCTTGGGTATGGGCTTTTGGATGCTACCATGTACCCTGCACGGCTATTCAGCTCCGGCGCTAGCATCCGCAGTACCACAAGTAGCGGCGACAAGGGTTCTGGTAGAGTTGCTCCCTCCTTCATGTCCAAACTCCACGCGGCCGAGGAGTCCCTTCCGAAGGAAGTACAAGAAGTTTCAGGTGCTCCTGGTGCCAAAATCTTTGTCCACAGCCCGTATGACTGTGTTGTTGCAGTGAAAAGGGATCTTGCAGACCGTTTGTCCTGGCTTGACTCTCATGGTCAGTACGAGGACGCATGGCGTCTCGTCGATCAACATCCCGAAGCTGCGGGCTCAATACCTGACCTAACCGAAGTTGTTTCCGAGGCTGCAGGAAGGTCGCAAACCAGTTTGGGTGAATTTTTTGCTGATGATCAGTCATCCATCATGACGGCTGGTCGGACGAGAGTTTCTGCTGCTGAACAGGAAAAAGCTCGCCTGGGGGAACTATGGATCAATCAACTTGTCAGCGAAGAGAAATGGGTTGACGCTGCGAGCATTTGTGGCAAAGTCATCCGCAATGCCCCAAGGTGGGAACACTGGGCATGGACCTTTATTAAAAATGATAAGATCGACGAGATCACTTCACAAATCCCGGTTGACTTAAATCCATCGTTGTCTTCTCGGATTTACGAAGTCATCCTCACCCACTATGTGTCACGAGACTTGGTCAAATTCAAAGAACTGATCGAAACATGGCCATCCGACTTGTTTGATGCGAACGTGGTCACAGAAGCCATCGAAGCACAGGCGAAATCTGAATCAGTGCGCGCCGGGTCTGAGGAGTGGGGAATCCTCACAGATTGCCTCGCCAAGTTGTTCCTCGTAGGAGGGCACTATCGCGAAGCCTTGCGTTGCTATATTCGATTGCAAGATGGAGATGCCGCTATGGCTTTGGTCCGGGAACACCGCCTGCTCGACGCAGTAACTGATGAAATACCGGCCTTCATTATGATTCGCGTTTCCCACGAGCAGATGAAGTCAGCCACGAAGTTCGAACTGGAGGAGTTGACTTCCGAGCCCACGCGACTCCTTGTAAGTGAAGCATACACGGGCATTGTTCCCCCAGATACCGTGGTATCACAGTTGATTGCCGCAAACCGGTTCCTGTTTCTTTATTTCTATCTCCGTGCGCTCTGGCGGGGTGAATCATTACCGCACGATGCCTCTAAGCCCAGAAGAGGACGTGGAATCCATGCTCGGGATGCAGCCAGCAAGCTTGCTGCCGATGAAGGCAAAGCCCTGATTGATAACTTTGCCGATACGGCGGTCGAGGTATTTGCCGACTACGACCGGCCTCTCCTGATGGAGTTCCTCCAGACAAGCATATCTTATTCATTCGAGAAAGCCACATCCATCTGCGAAGACCACAAATTCACGCCAGAGTTGATTTTCCTCTTGTCCAAGATGGGCCAGACGAAGCGGGCCTTGAACTTGATTCTATCGGATCTCAAGGATGTTTCACAGGCCATTTCATTTGCAAAATCACAGGAGGATCCTGATCTGTGGGAGGATCTGCTTGATTACTCCATGGACAAGCCAAAGTTCATCCATGGTCTTCTTGTTGAGGCCGGAACAGCAATCGACCCGATAAAGCTTGTGCGTCGGATTCCGAGCGGGTTGGAGATCGAAGGTCTAAGAGAGGGCCTCACTCGCTTGATCCGTGAACATGATCTGCAGGCTAGTATCAGCCAAGGCGCGGCTAGGGTTATGCAAAGCGAAGTTGCACTTGGGATGGACTCGCTGCGCAAAGGTCAGCGGCGGGGAATCAAATTCGATATCACCGAGGACGGAGAGGAAGATTCCAATAAGACACCGACAACAAAGACCCAAGCTCAAGATCAGATCTCCGAGACCAGTGGTGCGAGAAAATTCGGTGGCTCTGGACAGGGAAGATGCGGCGGTTGCAAAGCCGCCTTCCGGGAAAATGGTATGATTTTGACCCAACTCCATTCCATGTGTTATTCTCGGGAAACAATGCTAATAATAACCCTGCTACAGAGCGAGAAATACTCGTTGGCTTTGCTTGTGGCCATATTTTCCACCTATCCCACTTGCACCCAGACACGCCACAGCAACAATCCGGAACGAGCAGCCGTGACCGATCTGCTGATGTTACACCCCGCGCCATGTCTCCAGTCGACGAAACCCGATCTGCCACCGCATCTCGCACCGTTGGCCCTAAAGTCACGACGGCAAGAATCCTGCGAGACAAGATCGGTGATGGATGTCGGATCTGTGCTGTGACAAGAGACATTGAATCCCTTGGTGGTGAGGCTGAGGTTTGAACTCTGTTGGGGGACATCTGTACCCATTCACGTCTGTCCTGTGTGTATACTCCATGTGCACATACCTATGCATTCTCCTTGTTTCTCTGAGATACCCTGGCTTTTAGCCAAGCTACTGTACCCATTTATTGGGGATATTAGGCATTCATCCATTCTGCGAGGTTATGATACTGTTCATTGTTCGTTTGATAAAGATGCGTTATGTTCAATGCTTTGGCTGCTCACTACATACATACGTATGTACGTACTACATATACTACTTTTGTTTATCTGTAACACTCACGACCGAAATATAACTACCCGAATTCACCGCTCGGTCAGCTCTTTCGTCCTGGAGCTTTCTATTCAGTTGAAGATTACAGATTACAAGGTTTTGTAGTCTCTTTATCATTTAGACACAACGAATAGTGAACATCCTTGAGATTAAGAAAGCTATGCTTCAACTAGAATATGAGTCACTAATAAAATTTGCAAGATTAAGGGGAGCCAGTTGCATCCCATAGAAAAAATAAACGGCCACCCATCAAAACATGGGTTCCTCAAATTCCATCGCAAACATAATCGTCGCATCAGGGACTATCCTTGCTACATCAAGAGATGGCTAGACTTGTCTCCTAACACGGTAAGAGAGTGTGTAGCGTCCTCACAGAATCAAGTGGAAGATGTGAGAGAGCATAACCACAATGCTCATGGTAAAGAGGCGGCTTTCCATGATTCCAGCGGCATTGGCACCGTTGAAAACAGGAGAAGGGGTGTGAGTGCCGCTGGAAGAAGTACCATGAGGAGATGGCGGGACGGTCTCGTCCTGGGTATGGGTAGGCTCCTGGGGAGGCACAACCGAGGCCTTGGACTCAGTAGTAGTCGCCAGAGTGGTTGGGGCCACGACGGTTGGCTGGGTCTCGGTGGTCTCTTCAGTGGTAGACTGCTGAGCAGGAGGAGCAGGAACCTTCACCAAAGTAGTCGCCTCGACAGTGGTGGCGGACGGAAGTGGGACCAACTCGGTCGGGACCACAGTAGTCACAACTTCAGTGGTCTCCTGCGAAGCGGGGACAGGTGCAGTGGGCTGAACGACAGTGGTCACAAGCACGGTGGTCTCCCGTGGAGGGGCAACAGGCACTGTTGGCTGGATAACAGTAGTCACAAGCTTGGTGGTCTCCTGCGAAACGGGGACAGGAACAGTGGGCTGAACCACAGTAGTGACAACCTCGGTTGTCTCCTGTGGAGGGGTACCGGGAACAGTTGGCTGGACTACAGTTGTCACCACCTCAGTGGTGGGCTGTGGAGCAGGAACTGTAACCGGGATCGGAGTCACAGAGATAGTGGTAGTCTCCGTGGGGGTGGTGGTGTACACCTTTGTGCTGATGCATTTCGTGGTCTCGGTGCAGGGGATCTCAACCGTGACTGTGACCTCTTCAGTAGTAGCCGGGACAGAAACGGGGACGGTCGGCTGAACCTCAGTGGCCGTGGTGGCAGGAATGGGAGCCGGAACAGTCGTATTCGAGACTGGCAGGGTGCTGGTGGTAAGAATCGTGGTGCTGACACACTTGGTGGTCTCGGTGCACGGAACCTCAACAGTGACAGTAATTTCAGTAGTCACCGGAGTAGGAGCGAGCGCAGTGGAATTGAGGCAAGGAGACGTGGTGTAATAGGTCGTCACATCAGTCACAGTGCTAGGAGCCTGGGGTACAGTTGAGTTTGTGTAAGCAGTTCCAGTGGTACCAGGGACAGGAACCACGTTGGTAGGACGAGAAGATGTAACAGATCCAGTAGTTACCTCAGAGGCAGTTCCAGGAATCTCGGTAGTACCAGGAGCAGTAGACTCTTCAGAAGGGGAAGTACCAGAAACCGTGGAAGTGGTGTGGTCCACAGCAGTAGTGGTAGGAACAGGAGCCACACTGGTAACATTAGGACGAGAAGAAGTAACCGACTCAGTGGCAGTGGCAGTAACCGTGGAGGATCCAGTGTCGGTCACAGAGCTGCTTCCAGTGGGCACTTCGGTGGTACTGGGCACTGGGGTTTGACCGGCACCAGGCACAGAAGACTGCGAGGTGACCAAGGTAGTGCCAGGTGTGGAAGACTTGGTGGTCACCTCAGTAGTGCTGGGGACAGAACTGTGAGGGACAGTAGGCACAGACGATTGGGTGGTCACTTCAGTAGAACCCGGAGCAGAACTGTGAGGGCCAGCAGGCACAGATGACTCAGTGGTCACTCCAGGAGTGCTAGACACAGGAGTTTGAGTAGGGGCGACAGGCACCGGAGTCTGCGAGGAAACCAGTGCAGTCGACTGAGAAGACACCTCGGGGGTGCTGGACACAGAAGTCTGAGTCGTAATAGGCACCAGGGTCGAGGATGTAGTAGGCACAGTGGACTTAGAGACACCAGGCGCAGGGGTAGTGACCTGAACTGGGACTGGAGTAGTAGTCTCCGTCGTGAGAGTGTGACCAGTAGTGCATGGAACGTCTGTGGTGACAGTTGTGGTCGGTTCATCATGACCGCAGGTAGTATGGGTAACCGTAACAGTGACTAGTATCAAGTTAGTTTGGCCTGAAAAAAAGAAGCCGAGGGAATTGAGGAATCTCCTCATAGGAGATGAGGAGAGCCTGGACTTACTCAGTTCGGAAGCTTGAACAGCACGACCAAACAAAGCGGGAGGCAAAACATTGACTATGAAAATGATCAGTCACGGATTCCAAGGTAGACCCAAACAGTGAGCTCGACTTACTTTCACCAAACTGATACTGCTCCCCAGTGTGAGGGTCCTGAAGAAAGACCGTCTCGACGTTGTAGCACTCTGTTTGGCAACAAGGTCAGTAAGCGATCATAATGTAGCCAGGTCTCAGCGATGGAACATACCAGCCGAAGCAGCAACCATGGTCACCAGAGTGGTGACCAGGGCCAGAAGCAACTTGAAACGAGTCCAAGCTGCCATCTTGGCAAAGATGGGGGTTTAAAAACGAATGTGAAGCAATGACTTGATGGTAATAACCAAGAAATTGATGGAAATGAAGGTCAATGAAGGAGAATGGGAACGAGCGTGAAGTGGAAGAAGAGAAAAGAGAAGAGAGAAGAACGAGGGAGATGGAAGAAGAAATAGTAAACAAAGTAAGTCACCACCTGAGGAAGGAACGCTGATTGCCCGTGACGACGAGGGAACACGTGCTTCTTGTGTTCTTTCCATATTTGAGGACAAACGTATAAGGAAGTCACGACTTCCGCTTACGGCTATGGTGAGATACTTGATGAGGACTCTCTGGGGTATAATTAGTGTGACTCGAAATAGAACCTTAAACTGGATGCACCGTAGGTGTACAACCTGAGTGAGACAGTTTAAATCTAGTTGACTGGGATACAAAAGAAAATGGCCCTTTGCCTAACATCGGGGGGTTTCGTTCGGTAGAATTATGCCGTGGGCTGTAATAAAGCACTTTATGTCCGGCTTTGGTGCAGAGATCAGCTCAAAACCAGTCCCTAGGACTATCGGAAGAACAGAACTATTTCTATAAAGAAGCAGGGGTGTCACAGACAATGGTCTATGTGCCACATTAGCAAGACTACAAAGAAAAACAGGCATGGCTCTATTTTCTATTACGGTCAGGCCATAGAGATCCCAAACTAGGTTTGAATATAAGACAAAGTAGCAAAACATTGCACGGATATTAACTTTTGATATCTTTGAAGTAACGACATTGGCATGACAGCCTAAATTAGGTCAGACACTGCCAGAAGGTCAAGTGCGGAAGTGAGAGATCACTTGAGCCCCGATACGGATTATCAACAAGTGTAGAACTGGGTTCTATTCTAATTTAAGCACAGCCCTATATCACCTCGGAGGATGATCTATGCTATGATATCAGGTCAGGGGCAATGGTGACACGACTTAGGGCATAATTTTATCAGGTGAAATTGCAAGGTAATAACGACATAAGCGACCATGGATACATCCATGATAGGTAGATATCATTTTAACCCATGTAAGCACAATGTCCAGGTTGACTATAAGATAGATGACATTCAAATTAAGTGCAACATGTACCTAGGTAGACAAAAAGCATGTTCCTCTAAGCAGTGCCCAGCCAATCTAAATACCCACTATAAAAATCGGCAAAAACCGAACGGAATCCCAGCCGATAGATAATCCCACTCCAGCAAAAGAGTAAAAGAGAAGAGAAGAAAAATCGATCCAATCAAAGGACATCAGGCAGAGTGGCAAATAATTCCAACGTTGCATGAGATGCCATTTCGGCTACCAACCGAAAAATACTAGTGTATGCAAATACATACAGTGACTTTTCCAAGATACCCAGAAAATGTGAGGTATTTTACCGGAACCGCTATACCCGAATGAGCGGTCACGTCACGGGACGACCCGCGCAGGAAAAAAACGAGTGGAAATTTATTTTGGCCCCGCTAAGGAACTAGATTATGACATCATAATGCTTGTCCACCCGTGAACGTGTATCAAAATACCTGGAAAGCCATAGAAGTACATATGTAGTTTGAATTGCTAAAATCATGAGATATGTGGCTATCACTTTTTATTTTTTAAACGAAGACAAGTCGAACCAGATAGTATAACATATACTACAAGCCATATCTCGGCTGTTGTCACCTCCACTCTATAATTGCCACCAAAGTTGATCCTTGCCCTTAGCTACAGCCAGCAAGCCTCCGCCCCACAACAACATTTTTGTTGTGTGATGCAATAAGTTCGGACCAAATGCCGAGTACATGTCTTCTAGTGGAGATGTTCAACACCTGCAGCTATCTACAACTCTTTGGATCTCTTTGAATGATAAGCGCTCAGATCATCACGTGGTGCATTGTACAGCACATGACTCAAGGGGTTTTCCAATCAGTACCTCAAGAATATCCAATACGTTCGGTTCAGCTGTGTATCCAAACGTTGTCAACTGGTATAGAGTAATGGAATAAAAGCTCATTGTGCTATATATAAAGCTATAGTCGAAGATAACTCGAGTCTCCCGAAATCGATCTATGATAGCGGAAACTCTGACTACTTGGCTAGCGCTACTTAATACCAGATTCCGAAATCCGGAGTCGCTTCGTAGCATCGTAATACAGAATTCAACTCTTTGGCTCTATCAATGCTTCTTCAGGCGCTTAGCGAGACTAACCGAGAAACCAGGAAGTTATATACTTGGAATGCTGCTTAGTATGGTACTATTGCTCTGAACATTTACCTCACACAAGCGCAATATAATTCTCTTTTTCCCATCCTAGATATGCTCGAGGATCTTGTATCTGTATGGTATTTAAGGACAGAAAACCACGGTTTTACTCAGCAACCAAGGAGACAAGAGGTGACCTAGAAAACAGAAAGGGAAAGGTTGGGAGTCGCGGACATTATCCTACATTTACACGATAGATGATATAGTTCGGAGCCCATTGTTCGGCAAGCTCGTGATAAACCCGGGATCGTGTTCCTCTTACTAAACAGAAAAGATAATCTATCAAAGGCATATTAGGGATATTGATGTCATTACTATACGTTGCTACTTCGAGGTCCGTATCTAGGGTTCACTCACTCATTGTCAGACATCTAGACTGATATGGAGACAGCAGACCTATTGCCTGAGAAAAGCAGGGGGAATATCAAACACGGGAATATACATGAAAACCTTTGTCTCGATTTGGCCAGTATTGGAGACCTCGAGCATCCATGGATACTCGAAATGGATCCAACTACTTCATCCGGAGATCACCACGGGAAAGAGAAGGTGATACATCTGCTGAGCAAACCAATATCAGGCGTCGCAAGCATAAACTATAATACAAAAAGAAGCAAAACAGAGACGTGAAAAAGTCTGCGCATGTCTATACGATCTAGAACTGAGCGTACGCTCGATCTGGAAACTGGATGTCTCGATATGGCATACGACCGAATTTCGACCCAAGGGAAGAAGACTCCCGGGCCCAAAAACCGCAATTGGTTGGGTGACATGACGGGAGCTTTCCCCCAAATCAGAACTCTTATATACCTAGGTAGAATCCGAAGCAACGGTCCATGGAACCTCCAGATCTTCGCTGCCAAACCATATTAACTTCGGGAGTGCCCAACGGCCGTGCTCTACCACGTTCTGGGGTCGCAGTGACAGTGTTTCGTTGACTTTCGTGGCGCAAAAGCCACAGTCCGTGTTCCACTGGGCTGATATGGAATGATTTGTGGACTGTGAGCCAGTTCGTTTCCTTTTTTTTTTCTCACTGCTCGCGTGGCCGGATTGGGGACTAGCGTCGATAATTCTCGGTTAATGGCGGCTTTCGATGCCAAGAACTAAGGGCTAGACGCATAGTTGTTCCAAGGGTCTTTAAAGGTGCCAAGGGTTGGATAGCTTTGGTGGCTTTATTTCGTGATGAGGCTTAGTTAACAATCGAGTCTTAAAGAGATACCTTTTGTTCGAGGTAGGATAAAGTACGACTTCTACGTGCAAGAACTCAATTGAGGTAGCAAGGTCATCGTATTCCGCACTTGCATCAGAATGGTTGACCCGTAGTCCCGTCCTCAGGTAACTATCTATATCAAATGACCCAAATCCGTACGTATGCACATAGGCATAGACGCGGACAAAGATCGCAGAAAAAGTCGAACACTCAAGGCTAGTAAAAACCAGCACCCAACAAAAAAAAAAAAAAAAAAAGAAAAAAAAAAAAAAAAAAGGGTAATATAGCTGGGAAAGAATGGAACAAGGTATCAACGTCGTATGCTCGGCCTTCAAACAGATCGAAATAATAACCATATCAGACAAAAGATATCAATAGTCCCATAGCCCATCGACTCATATACCGTCGTAATGGGTAAGCAACGCTAAGTTTGAACAAAGAGATCTGAAAATCAAAAACATAATATAACAGGGTATCGCTGCTCGGAGACTCGTTTATCATCCCCTTGTTCAACGCCCCGTAAAAGACAGTAAAGCCAGCCCATAGAGAAAGGAAATATGAGAACATGAAAAGACGAGTGCAACTGGTGCAAGATGGAAAGTTCGTGTGCTGCAGACCAGAGTGGGGAGACCAGTGGTTAGCAAGGTGAGATGAGGCGAGTCGAAAAGAGTTACTTTTGTATTATGTTCGAATTCGAGAGGCGGGGCATGGCCTTGAGGTGTAGGCGATGCAGTTTTAGTAGATTAATTTTATCTCCATGGGAGATCCGGGTGGGCCAGGAGCACTGCCATTAGGATTTGGTGCTTCAGAGATGTCGAGGATCATGTCTTGACCCTCTGGAAGCTGGCGGACAACATCATCATCCACCATGACTCGCATGCCTTTCTCGTGGGCATGCATGATGTTTGAGATCCGCATCGGATCGATTTGATATTTCTCAGTAATTTGCTTCATAAGGTCTTGAACCGTGCGTTCCGTCAAATAAATTGCACGGTAGAAGTCCTCAGAGCGCTTTGCATTTCCAGCGATTCGGACATAGAAGCATGCGACTGCAAAGATAATTAGCAAGGATATTAATGATCGGGTTACGCTCGAAAAAACTCACCAGGTTGAGGAGGGCGTTCCGCCGGAGGTCGGTAGGTTAAGTCTACACCCACGGCCTCTATGAAACCCCTTGAGACCTGGTCACCAGCAGGAATCCTCTGAATGGTGGTCGGGCAATTTGCTAATCTGAGTGATTGGGTAGGCGGCGAATTCGAAGAAGAGGTATTGGTGTTGGGAGGCGAGGGCATAATTGTCTCCAATTCACGTGTGTTTGAACGGCTCATATTCGCATACTGAGGGGAATCGCCGTCACCCGATAGCTGAATGGGATATAGGTCGGGATCATCGAATTTATCACCGCGTAAGCCGAAAATGCTCACTGAGCGAGTGGATGAAAACATTTCTTGCATTGTAGCCAACTTGGCTTGGAGATCATCCTCCAACGAGACTTTCTCTGGAGGCACATCTTCCGAGTCCAACGACCAAGTTCGTTTGTGGCTCAAAGACTTGTCGGATCCCTTTGCGGCAGAAGCGTTGTTTCCCCGTTTGCGCTTCGTAAATCCACCCATTTCTGCCTGGGAAATTTGCTGCTTAAGCTTATCAATGGTCTTCTTGACATGCGCAACGTCATTGGACAGCTTCCGCTCAGCACCATGATCCCGGAAAAGCTTTACTTTGCAGTAAGACAGCTCTGTATCACGCGATACACCTGCCTCCTCGCCCGGGGATAAAAGCTCGGTTTTGGCGCATAGTCTAACAGGAATTCCCTTCACACCTTTTGAGTGACTGAAATCGGTGGAAAGGAAATTAAACCGCACGGGAATGTTGCACTCCGCCGCACCAGTCGTCGGATTGGCAGTCCAAGTGACGCAGAAACCGTCGACTGACATGCTCTCAACTTGCACCTGTCGGTTCCTGTGTGTATCGCTGCCACCTTGTAACGGATCCACGTATTCCACAGCTAACAATTTTCCACCACGTTGATGGGCTTCTGTGGTACCGCGGCCTTCCTTCCATAGTTGCCAACATGCTGACGGTTTCATTCGTTGTTCTCGCTCTTCGAAGGAAACTCGAATAAATGTTCTATATCGAACAGGTTCTTGGTTGACGATTGGTGGGCTCGTGTCGATAACTGAGAGATTGTATGCTTGACCCTTGTTGAGATAAGTCACGGGGATTTCACTCATGTTCTTCACCATGGCGGTCGGTGCTCGGAGAGAAACATTGAAGCGGAATCTATATGTGATAGAACGCGGTTAGCACTAAATAGAAATTTACTGATCGGATTTAACTCACTTTTCGCCATTGGCATAGGACATGTCACCAGCCATTTGAGCCGAAAATTCCGTCGACGCCGTCAAATTGGATGATGTTTCGACATGTACATCATTTAAAGATTCATCGAGAGTATCGTCCATGGCGTCATATCCAGAGTCACGGTGCATGAATGCGCTTGGCGCATATGACGGCTGCTGAGAGAACGTGTTCATGTCATTCATTGGATTCATGAACTGCGGGTGGAACGGCTCAAAGCTGATGCTGTGGTGATTGTGTACAGCTGGCATGCCCGACAACGGGGTCATCAAGTGCATCCCTGTTGGAGTATGCAAATCGCCAGCCTGGTTATGGAACATTGCACCCATTCCAGACGAAGTTGGGGCATAAAAGCTTGTATGCTGGTTGGCAGGCGGCATCATGGAATATGGAGCGGACTCCATCCAAGAGGGCGTCAACACCAGTTCGTGCATATTTCGTGGAGTACGGTCGTTGTTGGTGATAGGTAACTTGACATCATGATTCTCCATTTTCACATCGTTGTTCTCGGCCATACTATGAGCAAGAATTGAGTCAGTTCTAGTCTTACACGTAGAACACATGACGTTATATACCTCGAGGCCATCACAGGCTCGGCTGCCCTCACATTGCGCGGGCTCTGGCTATCTCGCCGAGGGACAATGTCTGAGAATGCTTGCTGGAACCGACTGATGAACTCAGTATCCGGCTTCTGAGAGTTTCTCCTGCGCAGAAAGAATATAATGTTAGAAATGAACCCATTGTATGGTTGACAACTTAAGCGTAAAAAGCTCACCGGTTGTTGAACATTATTTATTTTACCAATGCTTCGCTTGAGCCGGGAGAAGGAAAGAAGCAAAATATGGCCACCAGTAAGTTGTGGCCCACTGCCAGTACACTTGGGTGTGCTCTGTCTGGTCTTCGTCAAAGCGTGGAGTTTGGAGATTGGGGAGTGTCCGGATATCGTGCGGAGTGTTCGATAGCTTGAGATTGTGCGGAACCTTGCATCAAGTGAAAGGTTCTACGGGGAATAGTCTTTTGGAGGAATGCGCAAAAGGCTCGGGAAATGGAAGCTCGGACTTGATCAAAAAGTGTGAAGGTAGATGAAGAAGTCCAAAACAGATTGCAGAAAATAGTAATGGAGAATGTTTCCTTCTTATAGGAGATTGGATGAAATAATGTATAATTGGAGTGACGAGGGGTGGAAGGAGGGGATATGACGATGTTTAAAGGGAGGGGAGAATGGTACGGTCGACGACCCTCCAATGAAAGATGTATAAGAGATCCCACAGGACTGTCATCCACTGAGCCACAAGTGGACTTTCACCAGAAAAGGGGGGCCATTGGATATGCTCGGAAGATTTTCAGAGGAGTTGGTGATCTCGGGAGGAGGAAAGCTGTCGCCACCTGGGACAGATAAGAACAGGGGGGCCACTTTCGGTAAGAAACGTCTTTTTTTTTTCCTTTTACCTTTTTTCCTTTTTTTCTTTTTTACCTCCAAATATACCCCAATGAAATCTGTAATTCAACAATTCCATAAATTCTACAAATTGTACAATATATTTGCTCTAAATAAAGTGATTGGTAACGAGGAATAAATTGTGGAGAAAAGGGTGGGAAAGGGTAAGCTATGGAAACTTTCAAGGTGTTCAGGTATGGAGAAAGCAGTAAATTTACGGTACGAAGTATATTTCACGATCCATTACACTTCCTATTTAGGTAGTACAATATCCATGGATAGACACATATAGATGATATAATTCGCCAGAGTATATACAATAGACATATATGAATGAATATATATATATATATATATATACATATCTGTCCTTTTCATCCAGTCTAGAAACATTCCTGATTTAGCATCGTGTCGACACCCTATATGATCTATGGTCCCCATTTCTAGTATATATAACATTACTATGGTTTATTGCACAGGCGCGTGCACATATAGTTGACCTCGCTGGCGAGTTTTCCTAACACGACTCGTGTCCACGGGTACTTGGGAGGGAACCTTGGAAACATTTCCCGTTCTCGTTAGGTAATGTGACTTAATCGGAATGGCACTTCCATATTGCTGTCCGGTTTGGCAGTAAATCAATGCTATTTAGGGTTATATCATATTATATCTATCATACGAGCACTTTATACATGCAACGTTTCTAGCTTTGGTCCGTTGTTCGAGACCTCAAATGGATCAACATCACAGCCTTATATATTCAAATTCTGACCTCATACTAGTGTGTATATTGTACAGAGTACAACATACAAAAGTACTTTAGCCGCGAAGGAGGAGTGTGGAACCGTCAATCACTGGTAGTTAGGCGTGATAGGTGGTCGGCCCGACCGGATCTGCATTGAAACTGATGTTGTTCGGTTGATATATGTCTTTCCGTTGGAATCCATTGGTTGGGACCGGGGATATGTCAATTGAAACGGTTGGTGCTGCCTAAAACATTTAATTTATGTCGATGATCTCATTCTCGGTCTGTCGCGGCTCAAGGAGACCAGGAGACCCATGCACAGAGGCTGTGGTTCATCTCAGTGCATCAAAACTGCAGCTACCGTTGTCTATATTTCAGATTGTATACCTACCTAGGTAAACTAGTCTGCTTATCAACAGCCATGGACGGTTTATAATTGTCATAGCTTGTGTGATTTATACTGGGGTGGTATTCTAAGACATGATATGCCATCGATACAATACATATAATACAGCCACATACCACGTCAAAACAACCCAGTAAAAAACAGCTCATTGCTGGAAAACCACCCACCAATAGTAATGCTTAAATCTGCCCTCGACTGATCGGCGGAACACCAGTACTTTATATGTACCTAGGTACCTTGTGCCTTACTAGAGCTTTCAATTTAAGTTATTGAAGCTAAAGTATGGAACTTGCATCCATTACCGAACATTGTAGATTACTGGTCTAATGTATAAAGCTCACCCCTCGGACTTATCCCAAGGTACACAAACACGCCAATTACATGGGTGTACATAACCGCCTTCTCCACTTACATCACCTCAATTAGAGGGCGTCCACTATTGCTCGGCATTGAAACCTTTCTCCACTATTTTTCGAATGGCCTAGGTATGGCCTAGGTAGGGCCCAGAGGTTCAAATTAGGACTGACGTAACGGCATTTCTTCCCGAGCTATCAGATTTACTATGATAGTAGCAGTGAAAGCCACGCCGTCATGAGGAGACGTTTTCGGTGATATAACATGCGAAAATCGGGGGCTAGACGCCGGCGGCTACATTGGTAAGGCCACATCTACGGTCGAAAGAAAGAATATACCCAAAAAATGTGTAACTAGGATTCTACTTTGTACGATTGATCTCAATCGGAAACCTGAGCTGGATAGAATATACGGTCGATTATTGGCCGATCTGACTTTATAGGAGCATCGGGGTTGGAGCTACTTTCTGTACTAAGCCACAATAAGTAAAACGTACGATACGTCCAATTTCAATATGTGATGTTCGTGGGGCTATAGCGCTGATCGGTTACATCATTCGTGCAGGGGTCCACGGGTAGAATGGTCCTCCCTTGTTGTACGCAAAGTACGGAATACGCAAAGTACCGTTGGCCAGGGCACGCAAATGCCTGTCCAAAGCCCGTAAGCGACTTGACCCACCTATAGGCCCTAGACAAATCCATAGACAAAGAGAACCAGAAACCCAAAGAAAGTCCATCTGTCCATCGTAGATCGGCAGTTGGGAAGAGGGGCCGATCTACGCTGGCTTGCAGTGGTGGGTGCTGGTATAGCCAGTCAGGCCAAAAAACGGTCTTGCCACCTTAATATCAGACCATCCCGAGCTTCTTTGATAGATGAAGTTCCACGGCACAGCTTACGCAGCTTTGCATCAGCCGCAAGCATTTTCCCATTCTCGGCGCCATGGTTCCCACTTATACTCGGCTTAAGCACGAATCAGATGCTCCCAAGAATGTACTTTTGTACCTCTGGCACTTTATATTGATGTCATAAACCTCAGTGCGAAAATTCAAAAGCTTACTGGTTGCGGGTGCTTTAACCAGCCGCGGTCGCGCATATTACACTCACTGTGCTGGGACAATTTACTTATGTCCTCTATGACGAGCTGACGAGCTGACGAGCTCTAGTCCGTTATTGGCCCTGGCTAATACATATGCATCGATGGAAGTATAAAAAGTTCCCCGGCCTCGCGGGCCGAGCTTATGAGGTTCCAATACGACCAGCTCTAATCACGAGAGATCGGCGATGGCTACCTTTAGCCGTCTGTTTCACCCACTATAACGGGGAGCACGATCCTCGTCTGGATTGGCCGGCTAGCGTGCCGTCTAGAAATTAATATATACCGAACGACATCATAATAATCTACAAAGTTTTGTTGATCCCACATATGATTGCTCTGGCCTACGTTATTGGTGATGGATTATTTTCTCCGCAGGATGATCCATTTCTAGGGCTGTACTTCCTCCACGGGGGCATTGCCACATCTTTTCCATGAATCAAACGAGTTGTTAGCGCGAGGGTAATCTTTGTTGGTAATTTCTGAACATGACTCAGTATCCCTTTAATAATAAGCTGGTTTTGGGAGACAGCTTATACAATGTTGTAGGATAGGATATATTTTTTTATCTTGCCCAGTGTGGTTGTCTACTCTTTTGGACTGCAAATTGAACATTGACGGTGGTTTCATGACATTACCCTATATGAACTATCCAATCGATATGAATGATGCCCCCTTTACAAAATGATCCGGTAGTGCTGTGTGGCCATCGGTATGCTCAATGATTACCAGTAAGTGTAGTCCCTTGTACCCGGTATCGACCGCGTGCAAGGTCGAAGAAAATATCACCATGCATACATGCAACCCTAACACGCCCATGACGCCGATGTGTGACAGAAAATAAAACAGAAGAAAACATATAGACACAGGCAAAACCCGACAGAACCTCGTGTATATAGTGGCCAATGGCCGGGTCTGGTACGCGGAATTGCCTGTTCCCAATTAGGGATGAAAAGAGGGTAAAAGATGCAAGAAGATGCAAGGCTCAGTGGCCGTTCAGAGGAGATGAATAAGGAGGGTGCCCTGCTGTCATTCGCAGTCCACCATAGTACGATGGTTGACCGGGTATTCAGCTTCGAGGCATGGGCATGAGGATGAGAAACTCCGAGAACTGGAGGAAAAGGAAGGTGGTGGACAGCGAAATGCTATCAGTGCTGGATGATCAATGAGAATCCATCAACCCATGATGCACAGGAGCCAGAGACTCCAGCAATCTTGTAGCCCAAAGGAGGTATTAAAGTGTGACTGTTCGAGTCGGTTAGCATGCTTCGAATATTGCGAGAAAGTAAAAGAGTATACGTACCCTGTGCCACCGGCAGCATTTCCATAGACACCGGATTTTCTGCCCAGGCTCGTGAGAATCTCGATCCCATCAATCCAGAGACCAGCCCGGACATAGAACCCAAGCAAAATTTCACCACGTCGAGTATCAAGGACAAACTCATCACCACCAGGCTTGCCTCCACGCTTGCCAAATAGCTGACTGGTCGCGTCCTCGTAGCAAAACTCGATACCATCCAGGGCATAGCCATGGTAGACTTTGATCGATGTCAAGAGCTTTGTTTTGATGAAGGCACATTCCAGTAACAACTGCTGTGGCTCACTGCCTTCCATCGCCGACTGGCCTAATTGGCCGCTTTTAAAACCAGACTGGCTTTTAGGCAATTTGACGAGAGAATTTTTCGATTTCAGATCGCCGATGTTCTCAACAGTGTAGCTTCCCAGAGCACCAGAGCAGACAACCAGACGAATG